ATTACCCCTAGGCTTGTTAACCTTAGATATTCGAATGGGCGTGTTCGATTATTTGTGTTCAAAAATGTGTACAAATAAAGAGGTATGTTAGCTTTCAAAAATTCATTTCTGGTTTCCGGGTGGGAAGCTAAACATTGCAGAAGAGCCAACGCGTTGCATACACGATTAGATTGGTGTGCCTTAGAGAACAAAAGCATCAAAATATAAACCTTTTCAAATGATAAAACACTATCATTTATGCAAGTGACGTTAACGAAACAAATAATGGGGCTATGTAATTCAGAGGTACTTCAAAGTAAATTATAATATTACCGTAGGCTACGAAACTTAAGCAGTTTAATGAAAAAGTAGGTGTGGAAAACATCATCAAAGGAAATAGTTCCGAAATGATGTGGTTCAAATACATTTTGTTACTAAAGAGAAAAAACAATTACTGAAGGTAGAATGAATTAGTGATTTGTAGTTTTCTACTAATAACACTATAAATAGTTTGCGTTTGAGAACACAAATGACTTGAGAAAGTGTTGCATAATGAAAACAGCTAGCCGACAATCTTAAAACGTGTTTTAAAAATTTCCAGTTAAGTGATTTATATGAGAAACGATAGCGGAAATCAATGTTATGATCTTAAAGACTGTTTATCCGAACTGTGCACGAACGAAAGGTTACTTGGATTAGGTATACAGGACGAACTTAATCACTATGGTAAAATAATTATTATTCACTAATGTTAAATTTATTCACGCATTTGAATAAGTGCTAAACCGAACTTGCATCAAATATTAACGAACTTCTTAAACCAATATCGTTGGAATAGGCTTGAACCAAGAACGAACAAACCCCGACACTACTGAACGACAGGTTCACAAGGAAGTTACTACTAAGTGATTACTTAAAAAGCAACGTTCATTCCCAAAACGCAACAGGCGTAAATTGGTTGACGTATTACTGGTCTTTCCTTAAGGTCGTGAAGTCCAAAAGTAAAGAACAGAATTGATATAACCCAAACCTGGCCAAAGAAACGAACCCATTTTCTGTGACTTTAGATTATTTATATATTATTTCGTACATTTCACGTCTTCCACAGTAGTTTTACATTAATAAACACATTCCTTTGTTCAGCTTTGTAATTTATATTTTGACATGCCTTCAGCCAAAAAATCAACCTGAACTGATTTTGTGTTATTAATATTTATTTTTCGGACATGTGTATCCCAGTTTCGTTAAAGGCAAAATTAAGAAATTTTAAGAGTGCTTAATTCGTAAGGCACCCCCAAGGCAAACCACTGATATAAAAATATACAGTGACAATATTTGAGGCTCTAGTCTACTTTGGTGTAATACTAGAAAGGCATAGAAGGAAGCGCAAACAGTACATATGAGCATCCTTAAACAATGACTGACAGAACCAATAATTTCATCTGAAACGGAAGTCTTATAAAATCAACCATAATCCCACCGTAAGATGAATGTATTAGATTAATTTTATTACTAAGATATTCTTTATATCGGACTCTTCAATTAATACTGAATGGAGCATACAAACTAACGTCCTAAAGCTAATATTGCTTATGAAGTTGCAATGATAAACAGCAAATAAGTGCTGCAAACAAAAGGACAGCACAGTAAAATAGAACAACTAACATTAAGATTGTTGTTAGGAATATGAATAAAAATACGAAAAGTAGTTCAGTTACCAAGCAACTATATTACAATTACAATTAAATGCACAGTCGAAATCTTCAGAAATAGCTATCAAGCTTCACATCCTCATCAACAAAATTCGGCTTCGTGTTTGGATGGTTAATCCCACATCCATCCAAGTCATTTTTTACATATATAAAGACCTAAACTAAGAGCTTTTTCGAATATTCAGACTGACCTAGCTAGTTTGCATTGTTAACTTATTTTGACCTATCACATTATCATTGAGATATTTTTTGAAGAGTGAACAGTCATTGTATTTGTCGAGTACGTGAAAAGTAGGTGTCAATTTAGATAGTTACTTGGTTTATATATTTAAGTCTCGATACTTTACGACAACAAGCAAAAATATCAAAGACGAAGACTTAGTAAATGAAATGATAAGCTTAAAAATGAAGAAAATAGTGAATGGTATCAAGGAATCAAGAGAATAGATGAAATGAACCCATCAACACCAATGTGAGTCGGAGTCAAGTAATAACAACCAATGTCGTAAAAAATGGTAAGGTATACAAACAAGGCAATCGTGAATACAGTGTTTGAGTTCATCACAAATAGAATCTTCAACTAAGTTCCTTTTTAAAGTTTCTTTAAATTTCCTCCAAAGTCATTTTCATACTGCACTCACCATATTTTCCTGAGAGTTATCGATGACAAATCCAGTAAAATCACTTAAGATTGGCGTAACTTTGCTTATTTAATCATCTTGGTAAAAAATAAGTTCACTAGAACCCCTCTCTAGTCGAAGTACCAGGATTATCCAATCGTTCATATGTTTTCTTAATACTTCGTGCTTAAATTTTATTAATGCATTCGTCGAAATACTTGTGAGAAAAATAATAATATCATATATATTATTATCCTTGCGAACCCTGAGATGCACATAAGTAATCTAACGAGTATAAAATTAAGTCCAAGACAGAGAAATTCCCCCTAGAACTTAAAATTCATAAACCAAGAAAATATAACAGGATTTAAAAAAGCTCAACTTGGACGTTTATAACAACAATTGTCAGAACTGAAACCTATGGATATTGAAAAACAAGGTTGGTATCCTCAATTATGACACTAAAACATCAATTCTACAATCTAGAGTACCGAATAGGGATCATGAGGAAACATTAAGTGAACTTATAAAGGACGATACAATTATGGTACTTTGATTAAACAAAGGTTATGGTGGTTATTTTAGACAACGGTAATTATATACGTTGAAAAGCATCTACACTAAGTTTTTACAAAATATGTCATCGATAGCTCTCAGTAAAGTACAGCGGATGCAATACGGAAAAGGCTTTCAAAGGAACTCAAAGAATCTTTGGGGAATTTTCCGACAATTTCAAAAGTGTATCAGTTGCTATTATTGATTGAGATTCATAAAAGGCACCAATCATATAAAATTAACCTGAGCAATTTTGAGTCAATGAATTAATATCTCTAGTGTCTGAATTTTGTCTGGGAGACCTTATGGCGAAAATGATTGTTTTAACAGACGTTCAAGGTAGTAATTTTCAAGTTATATGGTTGTGAAGGGGTAGTGGAAAAATATAACCTTGATTTAAATGTTAACAAAAGTTTTTCATGATTTACATTCATCCTTAAAACTTATTACAACCAATAGATACTCTTGATCATAAAATCACCAATTGGAAATAGGTTATGAGAGGATTGACTAGTTCAGGTTGGGGGTTGGCGTTAAAAACTCGAAATATCCTGAAATTCCTTATGTACTTCGGTGCATTGACTTTACGATGATTTATGAACAATGAGTCCAGTTAATAAAAAATCTTGGTTACAAGTATGCCAAAATAATTAAACTGGTGCTACAACGAAGCATTGTTTTTTTTCGCTGACAAAAAATACATCAATCTCTAACCTTATTATTGACTTTTACATGCACAAGTATTTCAAATGTTGGTCGTGGTTAACTATTAAAAATAAATAACATGGTCACACGTCACTGTGATTATGAAGAATTGAGTAATAAAACGGATCAAATAAAAACATCAAGAGAAACAAAAAAGAACTTGGGGGTTGTATGAACAAACAGTTCGTAAAGTACCAGCGAAATGATATTATCTTTACAAGTTATTTTGTTAACTTCGCTGACATAAGCAGGCATCTTAATTACCTAAAAAATAACAGAAAAGGTCCGAAAGCATCAAAAAATAAGTGAACATCTAGTGCAGAGCATTAAACACTAGCTGCCTGATTGAGACTTTGTAATATGAATGACTCATAGTGATACCATAAATGGGATCACTTTGAGTAGTTTACATATTCCCAGCTCAGAAAATCTACATTAAGAAATCAGGTATACAGTGAGATCTAAATCTCAGAATTGGGATCTAAAAAGACAGAGGTCAATGAGAATTTCTGTTCTGTTCAAACTACTGTTTAACAATTTGGTAGCTTTTTGTAAAAACGTAGTTTTACAGAAGAAATTACAAACGTGTTAAACTCTAATTGCTGAAGAGCCGCTTAAAGACAAAAACAAACCCAAGTTCGCCTGGTGAATAAGAAGGCAAAAACGAAGAGCATTTGGTCAAAGGTTATATAGAAACGCTGGTAAGACAAAAAATCACTAGCTTCATACATGCGTAAACTTTTTATACGGGAAATTATGTCTAACAACTTACGCTTAAATTTGGTGGATTGATGTAAGGATAAATAGCACATATTTCTTGCAGCAACGCAGCAATAGAGCCACAGGAATGCCACAGAAGTGGAGCAAGTTCAGGAACCGACTCTCTTTTTTTACTTTACGAAGGAAACTGAGTATAGACAAAATACAGTATACCATAATTCAAGGAGTGCACTTTCCCGGGTTTCTACATTGGTTAATGAAGCAACCCACTTGTAAACACTTTCCATATCAGAGGCGGATGAATTACTTTGGGAGGAAGTTTGGACACTAGACATTTGTAGCGAAGTACTTAACCTTGGCGCTTTTAACAAAAGTACTCAATGTACAATAACTTTGTGGCGTGTAGCATCAACATATTGTCTTTTTCACAAACATTTTATTATTGGGGTGAACGTACTGTGATAAGTTAACATTTACTAAGAGTATTTTCGTTCTATATATTTTGAAAAATATTCCTGGGATTATTCACTGTAGGTAAGTGAGTTTATTCCAAAACAGTGATGTTACTAGAAACAAAAGCTACCGTATTATCTCTTGTTCGATTGATGGACTGTGGTAAGAGCATTGTTAAATCAGAATATAGAGCAGTAAAGAAAGTACAGAAGCTCAGACCAAATACATAGGATAAACAAAAAAAGCGAAAAAATAGATGAAAATGTTGACTCCAGGTAAATATATGATAAAAGTTAAAGTAAGGCATTGCAGGTATGCAAATTAAGTGTGGATACTTTGCTGCACGGGGTCTAGGTAATCTATCTAAAAATAATTTTTCTAGTGTTAATGTTGAACCTCTGTATTCAAAATCCGTGATTTAGTAAGCCACTGTCACCCGACCGTTGTTGCTACCTTGACGTGGTGGTCGGGCTTGCCTATCGTGATGAAGCAACCGAGCTATACTGGCTGGAACAACCGTTCCTCAAGGTCCTACTATGACAGACAGGTCGGTTGAAGAGCGGTAAGACTAAAAGCAACAAACCCAAGGTTCGAAGGCGAAGTCGTACTGCTGACTGTACAGAGGTGTGACAGCAGTAAGGTGTTTCCTTCAGACAACCAGCATGACAGCGATGCTGCCTTCCCACAAGGAGGGGTGGGGTTAGAAAAGGTCGACCCTAAAAATGCACACCTCACCTTACCTCACGGATTTCCGTCTCCGGCGGTAAGGCCCTTTGAAGAACGGAGCTAACACGTCAAAAACCTCCTACGAAAAGGCCGTGCGCGACCGGCCTCAAGCAGTTGTCCCTTGGGCACTGCAGTCACGCTCTCAGGTCACTGAGACCACCTTTAATCCAATTTCCTTTTCAGGTACCTCCAGAACAACCCTTCCACGGTGTGGGCAACCGGGAAGTGATAACCGCCCTCATACCTCTAACAGCACCCAAGACCACTGTATTCATAATCAACCTCCCTCTTCAATTCCTATTATTCCTCCTACATCGACTTTCAACTTTAAATTTCCTCTCTCGGCTTCCACCTCAAGTGTCACCATAGCCAACGATTCTAGTGCGCAAAACACCGTCCCAGGTCTACTGAAACCTCGCTCCAAACTACACATTGGAGCCTTCAACGTACGCACCCTATATCAAATCGGTCAGCAGGCTTCCTTGGCTAAAACCCTAGAGTCTCTTTCCATTGATGTATGCTGTGTCTCCGAAACACGCATACAGGATTCCAGTGTGGTTATTCACTTGACCTCACCTCGGCAAAACGGAGAGCCAACAAGATACACCCTTCGTGTATCTGGTGACCCGATGGCAAGTTCTCGTGGACTGGCAGGTGTAGGCATAGCACTAAGCATGAGGGCGGAACAAACACTGCTAGAGTGGATCCCCGTCAACAGTCGTCTATGTGCTGTTCGGCTGAACGGCTACGTAAGAACTCGGAAGGATAGGGACACACGTCGTTGCCTTTTTGTCGTTTCTGCCTACGCTCCCACTGACTGCAGCTCAGATGAAGTGAAAGATGAATTTTACAGAAAGCTTTCTGAACTTCTTCAGAAAGCTAAACGCTCAGACATAGTACTCGTAGCAGGTGATTTTAATGCCCAGATAGGTAGCTTAAACCAAACAGAAAGGCATTTAGGTGGATATTTCAGTGTTCCGACACAGCGAACAGATAATGGTGATCGTCTGCTGCAGCTATGCTCAGACAATCGTTTATTTTTAGCAAACACAAATTTTAAGCATAAGGAGAGACATCGTCTAACATGGCGACCCCCTACACCAAACCAACGATGGACTCAAATAGACCATATTGCCATCAGTCATCGTTGGAGAGGGTCGGTAGAAGATTGTCGCTCATTCTGGAGTACCTGCTTGGACTCCGACCATGCCCTAATACGGGCACGCATCTGCTTGCGCCTCACTAGACGCAAAAAAGCCACATTAAAAAGACCCGTCAGAACTGAGTTGAGTAACGAGAAAATCAAAAGTAGGTTCCAGGAACAACTGAGGTCACACTTAGGTAGTTGTGAAGACGAGGCTGACCCAGATGTTGCTTGGAAGGGCATACAATCAGCTGTGGAAACAGCAGTGACATCTATTAGTGACTTAAACCACAGAGTTGCAAGGAACCAGTGGATTTCTTCAAGGTCTGTCACACTGATGGATTCTCGTAAACTCGTCCCACCAGGTTCTGAACATGATGAAGAGCGAAAACAAATCAGATCTAGGTTAAGAAAAAGTCTAAGGAACGACCGTGAGCAGTGGTGGGTAACGAAAGCAAAAGAGATGGAAAAGGCGGCGACTATAGGGAACACAAGACAGCTTTACAGACTAATAAAAGAAACTGGAATTAATAAGTCAAGTGTAAGTGAGATTATTTCGGAAAAAGATGATACTCTCATCTGCTCCCAGTCCAGGCGTTTAGAACGATGGGCGGAACATTTTAGAGAACAGTTCAGCTGGCCTTCAGCTACTGTACAACTACCCTCCATTCCCAGACAGTGTGAATGGAACATTGAAGTAGGTCCCCCAACTCTTGCTGAAGTTCAAAAGGCTATAGTTAATCTGAAACGAGGAAGGGCAGCTGGTCCAGATGGATTGGCTCCAGAGGTCTTTAAGGATGGTGGTCCAATTTTAGCGATTAGGTTGACTAATATTTTAGCTAAGATCTGGGAATTAGACTTTATCCCATCTGACTGGTCGCAATCACTTATCGTCCCAATATATAAGAAAGGGTCAAAATCATCCTGTGACAACCACAGAGGGATTAGTTTAACAAACATAGTATCTAAAATACTGGCCTCGATAATTATCAAACGCCTAACTAAGACTCGTGAACTACAAACTCGAGAGAACCAAGCTGGCTTTAGACCTGGTCGTGGCTGCACCGACCACATATTCACCATTCGTCAGGTTCTAGAACACAGGCATACCTATCGGCGTCCGACGATGGTGGTCTTTCTTGACTTAAAAGCAGCATTTGATTCTGTAGACCGCGAGACTCTGTGGCAGTGTCTGTCATTGAAAGGCGTACCTCAGAAGTACATAAACCTTGTGAAGGCTCTTTACTCGAACACTACTAGTCGAGTCAGGGCTTATGGCGAACTGTCATCTACTTTTGCAACTTCAAGTGGTGTCCGTCAAGGCTGTCCGCTTTCTCCATTTTTGTTTAAATTCATCATAGACCTATTGATGGAAATAACACTCTCGTCGACTGAATTCTCGGGTATTGATCTCCTTCCAGGAGGTCCACTTATCGACTTAGAATACGCAGATGACATAGTCCTGTTTGGTGAAGACGCTGACAAAATGCAGAGTCTTCTGGTAGCACTAAGCAACAATGCCAGAATGTTTGGAATGCGCTTCTCTCCCTCTAAATGCAAGTTGTTGCTTCAGGACTGGTCTGCGTCAACACCTGAACTAAGGATAGGGAGTGAAGTAGTCGAACGCGTTGACAACTTCACTTATCTTGGAAGTCTGATCAGCCCTAATGGGTTGGTGTCTGACGAAATCTCTGCACGGATTCGAAAAGCTCGTTAGGCTTTTGCCAACTTACGTCACCTATGGAGAAAGCGAGATATTCGTCTATCAATAAAAAAACGAGTATACTGCGTGGCAGTTGATTCTGTTTAACTTTACGGCTGCGAAACGTGGGCATTAAGAGTAGAAGATATTGGTAAGTTACTAGTATTTGACCACAGATGCCTTAGAAATATTGCTCGCATCTGCTGGGATCACCGGGTAAGTAATAGTGAGGTTAGACGCAGGGTATTAGGGAATGATGGTAAATCAGTTGATGAGGTTATGAATCTTCATCGACTGAGATGGTTGGGCCACGTGTTACGTATGCCTGAACACCGATTACCACGACGTGCAATGCTAACCGGTGTTGGAGATGGTTGGAAGAAAGTTAGGGGCGGCCAAACCAAAACGTGTCATCAGTGCCTGAAGTCACTAACTTCTAGTCTGAGCCATGTTGGTAGATGCAGACTACTTGGTTGGGGTCCACGTGACTTTCGTAACCAATGGTTGGAGACTCTTGGTGACATGGCTCAGAATCGATCACAATGGCGTCGGTGTATACACTCCCTGTCTTCCCTTAAACTAAGAGTTTAAAATCGCTTCATATCTTTCTTTCTACGAACTAATTCTTTCTTCCTATACTATATCCTTATTGCAACCTTTGACCTAACCACTCCTATGAATCCGGTGTTCATCTTGCTGTGCTAATGAGGTATGGCAACCTGGACCGATGCACATATGTGCCTGGTCCTACGTTGTAGCTGACTGACTGACTGAAGCCACTGTCTAATTTCCTTTTAAAACTATCGGCAGAGCTGGCTGTTATTACATCTGACACTAAATGGTCTTAGGTGTGCGGGTCCTATAGTAGAAAAAATTGAAATTTCACCTAGGTATTATCTGATCAAAGCGTTGTTAAACTACAAATACTCGTGGCATCTCCAATCTTATCGATATGAGATTTTCTTTTATAATGACGTGAAGGATCAGCGTAAGTAAAATCATGTTAATGAATTGATTCTTCTTTAGCACAGTTTCGTTGAAGACTTCTCTGCTCATATCAATTGTTCCTTCGGATGAGGCAAAGTGTTGTGTTAAGTTTCAACTAGTCTTTAATATATTTTTCACACTCATGTGTGTACATGTGCATAAGCGTCCTTTGAGATGTACACTCGAATTAAAACGGTTTTTATTTTCTCTATAGATAATGGTACTTCCCTCATTACCTAAATCCTTAAAATTTCTATATCTCTATGAACTCATTTCAGTTATAGATTTTGGTTTTATTCGATTATATGAAGCTGTTAAGCCTTTTGTTTATTGCGTTTATTTTGTTTAACTAAACACTTCGTGGTGATGACAGTTGTTTTGGCCGAGTGTTTCCCCTGATTGTTCACATTTGAATTGGCTGGTCAAATTATCACGAGTGAGAATCACTTGTTCATAAATGATGCTTCCCAGGTACGTGAAATTTTATACCAGTCCCAGAGCTTCTTCATCAAATGTGACTGGGTTGGTGTTCTGTGTCGTATTTGAAGATCTTGCTTTCCCCTTGTATATGCTGAGGCCTACTGATGCATAGGCTTCTGCTACATTTACTGTCTTCGCCTGCATACGTTGGTGTATATGAGATGAAAAAGCTAGGTCATCTGCGAGGTCCAGATAGTCTAGCCGCATACAATCTATCTGTTGTATTCCATGCTTACCCTGAGATGTGAAGTTATTTGTAATTCAGTAGACCAC